GAAGGGGACTCGAGATCGACCCTTGTTACGGTGGCAAACTGCACATGACTCAATGTACCTTGTGACATCGTGAAGAACGTCGGGCCAGTGAAAACGCTGGCGGAGGCGTGCGAGTGTGCGGTTCACGCCAAGGTGTGCCGAAAGTCGTGCWTCGTGGAATTCGCCGAGAAGACGAGTCCGTAAGATACGATCTTGGGGCACAACTAACAAGTCCGTTCCTCTCGTGTGAAGAAGAAGGAACCCGTCGGAAATCCGGTAATGGCTAGCCGGCGGGTGATCCGATGAAAGCTTCGCATAAAGCGTAGAGTACGTCGGRTCGGACTTGTAGCCTTTGACGAAATGCTGCTGCAGATCGTTATCGAGGTCGAATGTCGTGGTCACAATGGAGCAAAAGTCTGGCCGTCATGAGAGGGCGTCCGCCCCTCGATTGGCGGGACCGGGAATGTGACACGGGTCAAAATCGAACTGGTCGATGTAATACAYCCATCGACYGATCGTACTAGTGACCGTGTCCTGCGTTTTGTAAAATGTCAACGGATTGTTATCCGTATTCCATTTAAAACGCCGACSGCCGAGAAGAAAGTGGCGCCACCGTTTGAGGACGGTGACGAACGCGAGTAGCTCTTTCTTCCTAGCGTCATCAAGAGTGTTGACGAGAGGCACCTTTTGGGAGAAGTACTCAATCGGATGCCAACCGTCCTTGTGACACTGTTCCAACACCGCACCAATACCGTATCCCGAAGCGTCCGTAGTCACTTGGGTGGGTAGGGTGGGGTCATATATACGGAGGGCAGGTGCGGCTTGCATCGATGCCTTCAACGTAGTGAACGCGCCACGGGCTGCATCGTCGAACTCGAAGGGCACCTTCGGGGACTGAAGTCTCGACAAAGGAGCGGCCACTTTCGAGTATGACTCGACGAAACGYTGATAATATCCAGCCAATCCCATGAAAGAGCGTACATCCGTCGTGCAACGGGGTTCCGGCCAATCCACGATGGCTTGGATCTTGTCCGCTAAGGGACGAATGCCTTTCGGCGTGACGAAATGGCCCGAGTACTCAAGCTCTTGCTTGGCGAATTCGCATTTGTCGAGATTCGCTTTGTACTTGGCTAGTCGCAAACGATTCAAGACAACGTGAAGGTGTATGATATGCTTGTCCAACGTCCTGCTGTAGACCAAAATATCATCAAGGTAAATGAAGACGTTGCGATCGAGCAAGTCGCGAAACTCAGTCGTCATTGCTGCTTGAAATGTAGCGGGGCCATTGGTGAGGCCAAATGGCATGACAACCCACTCAAAATGCCCATACCGCGTCTTGAACGCGGTCTTGTACCGGTCTTGAGGCTGGATTTCAATCTGGTGGTAACCTTACTTCAGATCCAACTTCGAGAAGTACGTCGCGCCGCCTAACCGCTCAAGGAGATCATCAATCCGAGGGAGAGGGCGGGCGTTCTTTATGGTTTGTGCGTTAAGTTTCCGATAGTCGATGCATAACCGTAGATCTTTGTTCTTGTTCCAGACGAAGAGAACAGGTGCACCGTATGGCGAGCAACTAGGGCGAATCCAACCCTTGTCGAGAAGATCATCGAGTTGTGCGCGAAACACCTCGAGTTCCTCTTCGCTCATGCGGTAGATACATCCACGCGGAGGGACGGCGCCAGCCTCGAGAGTGATCCCGTGACGTATGGGCCGATCCG